TGTTGCACTCATGCTCTGGTTCAGCCTCTCATTGCTCAAACTTAACATTGCCGTTCCTCCATTTTTCCTAATTGACTGATATTTCTGGATTTGATGTAAGTCTGATACTGAACTGTTTTTTGACACTGGACTTTGATATTTGGATTATCCCTGGATTGAAAAACTGACTGATTTACCTGTGAATGATTTTGGATTGCTTGTTTGGACTTTGCTTAATGTTTCTGGAAGTAAAAACCTACATTTACTGTACAGTGTATCTGTGTGCTGTATGTGTATTATTCAAACACTACTCTCAAATACGTCTCCCTGTATGCGTTCATTCTCCTAACGGGGAATTACCTCAACAGAAACTGATCCAGGAGAGATTCAACTAAGAAATAAGGAGACATTTTCTGATTGTGAGAACAATCAACCATTGGAACAGAAGTTTCCTTCAGAAGTTGTGGGAGCTTCATCCCTGGAAGCTTTCAAAAAAGAGACTGGACAGCCATCTGTTAGAAATGGTGTAGGGTCTCCTGCTTGGGTGGGGGGTTGGACTAGATGACCTACAAGGTCCCTTCCAACTCTGTTAATCTGTATCTGTATCTGTATTATTCATGGAGGTAAGAGAACGTGTTTCTCTGTAACATGGAGACCGAAGGCACGAGTCTTTATGTCGCATATGAACACTCCAGAGGTGGTCTTCAGCAGGTTCTGACCAGTTCTGGAGAACCGGTAGCAGAAATTTTGAGTAGTTTGGCAAACCAGCCAAAACCACCTGTGACTGGCCCTGCCCTCAGCTCTTCTCTGCCTCCCATTGAGTCCCAGCTGATCGGCTGGGGCTTCTTTGGTTGCCCTGCACAGGAGAACGGAGCTGGAAAGCAGGTTAGTGGGGTGGGGAGGGAATGAGGATTTTGTAGCATCCTTCCCCTGCCACGCCCACCGAGCCACGCCCATCAAGCCACGCCCACAGAACCGATAATAAAAAAAATTGAATCCCACCACTGGAACACTCAAATATAAGTTTATGGGTATTAGATGTCGTATAACAGACATGTCAAAGACAAACAAGATGTAACACTTCACCAAGGGATGCTTGTAGAAAGTGCAATTAGATCAATCAAGCTATTTTTCTCCATCTCTTTTCCAATGACAAGGCCCTCCTGGTTTGGAGGAAGGTTCCTGAGCTGTGCCAAAAGGAGCCTCAAACGTTGACATTCAACATCTAGCTTTTCCTAGGTAGAAAATATATACCTCCCAATATCTTTGCTTTGCATGACGGTGATTCTTAATTTCAGATATGGAGATCTGGTCAGGACTGAACGGGAAATATTTGTCGCAGCTAAAATTACATCATAAAACATAGACACACAGGGCTGGCAAGAGACACACTGAGATCCTCTGGCCCAGCCCCATGCTCAAGTCCGGAGCCTTATTCCATCCCAGACAATTGGTTGTCTGCTCTATTTTTTAAAACTCCCAGTGATGGATCACTCACAGCCCCAATATGCAAGCCATTCTACATTAATTGTTCCCACTGTCAACAATTTTCTCCTTATTGAGGCTTCCGGTTTGAGCTTCTTCGGCGACAGACCGAAACCTCGTCTCTGCAAGGCTTCGATCCGTGCTCGCCGCTGGAGCGCCCCAAGCCAGCTGTTTCGGGGCTAAGCAACCCTGTAGAGGTGGTGAAGAAGGGGGAGACTGCCTGCAGGGTTGAGGAAAGTCGCATCTCTCCTCCCCATTGGCCATTACTCCCTTTCCCGAAGGCGATTGTAGCGGTGGTCAGAAATGGCCATCACAAAGAAGAACTTGACCGGAAGAGAATGTGCAGGAGGAAGATAAGAAGAGAAAGTTTTGGTTGACCGGGTCAAACAACAAATAAGCAACAAATAAGGTACCCTGGAATTTAAATTTAATAATATTGTTCCCAAAGAAGATTTTGAAGTTGTGAAGGAGAGAGAGAACAGAAAGGATTAGGTTTTTTTTTTCTTCCCTTCCTTATATTGACAGCTAAGAGGCTTAAGCAAGAAATTGAAAAAAAATCCACTTTGACATTAATAGGCATCTAAGCTGAAAATAAAAGTCAAAGGGATAATAAAGATTTCTAGATATTTAAAAGTTTTTAAAAGCAGGAAAGGAGAAAAAAAAGAATAAAAGGGCAGGATCTGGAAAAATGGAGGAGACTGCCTTGAACTAAGGAATGGAACTGTAACTAAAAGGAACTTACAGTGAAATTTTAACAAGATTCCTCAAAGATACATCTTAATTGAAACTTGGTAACAAAATAATAGAACCCCAGGAAGAGAAAATGGAAAAAAGAAGCAGAAAGAAACAGCCTTGGAGTATTTGGATTACTTGGTGATTTTTGGTTTTTGCATCTGGATGACTAAAATTAACCGGGTGGTTGTTTAAAAGTCTTTAAAATGGTATCACTCTTAGAAGAACTGAAAATGGAACTTAAAAAATGGAAAGAAGATGCACAAGAAGGGAGAGGTTCTTTTGGCTTCATATTTCAATTCTTAGAAATGGAGATCTGGAACTATGAGAAACAACAAGAACGCTTGCAGAACAAGAAGATTGGGACAAAGAAGAAGCCATCTTTAATGATCAAATAATTTTAAGTGGGGGGAAAAAAGAAAAGGGGGTAAAGAGAGTGAAAGGTTTAAGACTAACCAAAAAGAAGAAGAAGAATTTGAAAGGTAAGTATAATATTAGAAAGCAACAGAAGAGGGGATTACAAGGAAAGGAAAAGAAGTTGTAAAAGACAGAAACAAGAAATGGAGAAACAGGGAAAAGATATAAGGATTGTAACCATAAGCTTGTTTAGAGATAATGGGTGAAAATTTAATTGCAAAAGGGATTCTGCAAACGTACATAAGATAGCATTGTTATATTATAAACAGAAATAATTTTAGAAAATATGATTAAAATGATGGATAAAATATTTACTGTAATGTAGTTGAATGTTTGGTAATAAATAAATGAATTAAAATGATTGAGAGAATTAAATGGGAACATTTTTAATTATTAGTAATGATTGATAAAAATATAAGTGAGAAATATGGGGAAAAAAGAATTAACTATGGAAAGTTTATAAGTGTTCCCAAGGAAGTATGATATTTAATTGAAAATAAATGTTAAAGATGTTAAGATTTTAATGAATATTAATGATAGAATTGAATTGGAATGGAATGTGTGCTTTATTTACATATATATATTTAATTTTTTTCTTTTTAAGAATATAGTGTGTATTTTAAGAATGTACCAAGCAGAATTCGATTGGAAGTTATGTATTATATTGAATGCTATAATCTTAAAGGTATACATTGAAGCTTAAATAAGAGTTTGAATGGATAAAATTAAAAGATATAAAGGTGGCATACTCCAATTGGTAACTACGGGGAAAAATTTGTTTAATAAGAAAAGATAATATGAAATTGAAACAGGACAGACAAAAGTATAACTATAACGATTTGATTGAGATGAGATAATTAAAATGAAGTTGAGAAAATTAAAAGAGGGAAAAAACTATGTAGAAAATATAAAACGGTAATAAGATATGGAATAGAATATAAAAATGAGCATGAAATTGAGTTTGGTGTCTGTATGAAGAAGTGATAACCTGGGACCATGCTATTTTCAAAAAAGATGTTTTAATTGCATTTTGTTTTTGTGAAAACCCAAATAAAACTTTCAAAAAAACAATTTTCTCCTTATTCTACTTTGGATCTCTCTTTAACAACTCTCTTTAAAATACAGGCTGAATAGTCAAGACCTTGTTGATGATCCAAGCTCTGTAAAGGACCTTGGAATACTCATCTCTAATGGTCTAAGTTCTAGAGCCCGCTGGAACTACATAGCCAAAAAGAGTTGTTAACCTAATCTTACGTAGCTTTTTCTCTGGTAATATCACACTACTAACTAGAGCATACAAAACATTTGCTAGACTAATACTTGAATACAGCTCATCAGTCTGGAACCCACATTACGTATCTGATATTAGCACAGTTGAGAAAGTCCAGAAATATTTCACAAGAAGAGTTCTCCACTCCTCTACTCATTGCAGAATACCTTATGCCACCAGACTTGAAATTCTACAACTAGAAAACCTTGAATTACGCCATCTTCGGTCTGATCTAAGTATGGTATATAAAATCATACATTGCAATGTCCTACCTGTCAATGAATACTTCAGCTTCAACCATAACAGCACAAGAGCACACAATAGATACAAACTCAAGGTTAACCGCACCAAACTTGATTGCAGGAAATACGACTTCAGCAACAGAGTGGTCAATGTCTGGAATACTCTACCTGACTCTGTGGTTTCTTCCCCAAACCCCCAAAACTTTAACCTTAGACTGTCTACTATTGACCTCACCCCTTTCCTAAGAGGTCTGTAGGGGGCGTGCATAAGCGCACCAATGTGCCTACCATCCCTGTCCTATTGTTTCTTTTATTTTTTATTTTTCTTATATGTATCCATGTATTCATAACTATGTTTTTATTTATACCTATTATCTTGTAAGCAATTGACAAAAATAAATAAATAAAACCCATCAATTCTTGGCTGACCTCTAGTGCCCTATAGGATAATAAGTCAACCCCCTCTTCTCTGTGACAGCCCCTGAAATATTGGAAGACAACTATCATGTCACCCCTACTTTTTCTCTTTGATAGGACACATTGCTTGGATAATTGCAGCAGTTTCTATCTGTTGCACTACTGGTTTGGTGATTGTGCGTGTGCAGGTTTCCCCCCACCAGCTGAGGCCTGTAGCACCAATCAGCTGAGAGGATAAAGAAGACCAAAGTGGGTGGGAGGGCCATCCTGCACATTTCTCTTTTTCCTCCTTTCAGCTAATCGTCTGAGCCTTTTTTTACTATCAGTTCGTCTGAACCGGTCCAAACCGGTAGCATACCACCACTGGATAGTTGGTTTTGCTTCCTTCCTTTACATTGACAAGAAGACCAACTGCACTGTTGTGTTCACAGCCATGAAGCCCACACATGAAGGCCCTTTTGGTTTGACAACACAGGGGAAACCGCTGTCTTCTTCCTTCTTTCTATTAACACACTTCTTAATGACAAAACTTGCAAGCTGCAACGATCCCACTGGGACATAAGACAAAGTGTTTGTACTTAGAAGAAGAAAAGGCTTTTTCAGGATCATTGCGCTCTGGGCTCCACGCTCTGAACTACCTGAACATTTCCTGTTACCTGAACATTTCCTGTTTCCAGGTAAAAAAATGTCCTACGAACCAGGGGATTTTTCTGCTTCTGGTTCAGAAGCTGGATCAGAGGTGGCATTCAGCAAGTTCTGACCAGTTCTGGAGAACCGGTAGTGGAAATTTTGTATAGTTCGGAGAACCGGCAAATACCACCTCTGACTGGCCCCGCCAACCCCACCTATTCTCTGCCTCTCATTGAGTCCCAGCTGATCGGGTGGGTCTTCTTTTCTTGCCCTGCACAGGAGAACAGAGCTGGAAAGCAGGTTAGTGGAATGGGGAGGGAATGGAGATTCTTCAGTATCCTTCCCCTGCCACACCCACCAAGCCACACCCAAAGAACTGGTAGTTAAAAATTTGAACCCCACCACTGGGCTGGATGCACAGTTGACAAGTCTGCAAAAGTCCCATTGTGCTGGATATTGAGGTGCATAGCACTTCCTCCTTTCCCCTTTCCACAAGGGTGGAAAGATCTTGGGTGGGATTTGGGAATCGGTAACAGAGCAGAGAATAATTTCACAAGACACAAGGATGGCCCTGCTGGGAACTTGGAAATCTCCGCAGTGAATTAAACCAGGAACATTTAATAAAGACACTTTTCCTTCTTGAAAAACATGAAACATTTATTTATTTATTTATTTTGTAAATTTTATTGGTTTTTAAAGACAAACATAAACAAACAAAACATAAAAACATCAAACTTTCTTCCATAAGTATATAAGCAGTGTGCCGGTTGGTTTACAAATTTTTTTGTGCATCCATTTCGTAGTCTTCAGTTACAGTTACATTGCATAATAGCTCATATTATCAATCAAAAATTGAATACCCTAGTATCATTATTAATCAATCATTTGACAATAATTTTATTCCTTTATATTTTGCGAGATAACCCTAATTTACTTAGTTTATTTTATAACAATTCATATAATCCTTCCAAATCTATACTAAAAACATTTTGTAGATATAATAATAAAAAAGAAAAATATATCTTTATATATTTATTATTTTCTAAAGTTCTACATATTTCATTATTGTATTTTATTATCTAGCCATTGATAGAAAAAGTCCCAAATTTTATAAAATTGTTTATCCTCTTGTTCTCTAATTTCAAATGTCAATCTACTCATTTCAGCACAGGGCGGAGCTGGCGTCGTGACGATACGGCATGTGATCTCGGAGGTCTGAGATCGCAGCCGATATCTTTGCCCCTGGACGGTCCAAACGGATCTAAACCGTCCCGAAGAGATGGTGAAAGTGAGGAGCACATCCTGCTGATCCCAGGGATACCACAAAGTCCCTGGTAGATCCAGGAGAAGCTCGTCTTGCCAGCGGAAGAGAGGCAGCCATTAAAGCTGCTGAAGTTGGGATAGCTCCGAAACGGAAGAGAACAGAAAGAGAAAGTGTGCTGGTTTGGTGAGAACTTTTTTATTCTAAGATTTGAAAGGACACCCTAAAGAAAAGAAAGAATCTGTAAAAGTTTTGACAGAAGTGATTAAGCGGCGATTTTAAATGGAAATGTCAAAGTAAGGCTTTGTTGTTGTTTTTTCATTGCTGGATTTCTATATGCAATTTTGTATTTTGGAACTGGACTGGTTCTTTTTTTATTTATACCTATCTTTTCTTCTCCTTTTTGATTTT